ACAATTTTTAGAAACCAGACAGTTGTTGAAGATAATAGAAACTAGTAATAATAACAATTTCCAGAGACTGGTCATCATGACTGACCATTTCATGTGTTCTTTGTCCCAGAGCTGTGTGTGACCAGAGTGATTTTTAAATACATGCTGGTGGGTATCAGGCTAGGCTTGAGTTGGGGTCTTTCACTGACAGCCCGGTTAAATTCCATGGCTGCCTTTAGGCCATGCTCAGCTACTAAAGACTGTTGTGGGTTCCTCACTGGGACTGGGAATTTGAACCAACAGCTGCTGCCACCACAGTGCCACTGGGACGAGCCAACTATGTCTGCAGTCAGCTTTATTCTAGGTTTAATTTTGCAGTGAATGTAATTATTGGAGAAAGAGAAAAACTGGTGAAAGCATAGACTCTGCAGGAAGCCTGGTGGATGTTCAGGCTTGAGCATAACTAAGATAACTTGGATAATTAAGGACATTCTACATAGAGAACAGGGATGAATGGGACCTCCAGATAACATGGAGACTGTGATATTATTCTACCTTGGTCAGCTTTCAGCCTCAGGACTTTGGGCAGTCTTGAATAGTGTTTATACTAGGATTGTCTCCCCTGTCAAGTGGAGGCTGACACAAACCCTTTGGGACAGTCAGTCACCCCAGTATGGTAGGAGACAGCCCAGTCTCAACTGTGGCTTCTCTTTCAAATTATGTGCTCCCCAATCAGCTCTGTATCTGAACTTACCCTAGAGGAGCAAGCAGGAGGGGAGCCACTGGCCAGTCTGTAGGAGGCATTAATGATCTGGGTACCAGACTCCTCAGTATTTACCCACCTATGTTTTGCAAGGGGCTTGGACTTTCTGAAGGACAAGTAGGAAAAGGGAGACCGGGTCTTGATTGAGCCTCCAAGTGGGTGTCTTTGGGTGTGATCCACCCCTTTGAGCCTCACTTTCCTGTGTAGTTGAAGTGATCCATGCTCCCTTCCTGCCCTGGAAAACCCAGGAGCCGTGGGAGTGATCAGGCTGGAGTCAGGGTAAGGATGTATGAGGGGCAATGTGCTCCTGTCTGCCTCTGGTGCTCAGGCCTAGCCTCCTGGGTCACTGTCTTCTTTCTGCTTTTAGCATATTGCTGAGGCTGAGACATAGCTTTCCAGCTGCCATGGCCACAGGCAGGGATGAAGGGCAGAAATGCTGGTACACTGTGGAACTCTGGCATTACATAATGCCATCAGGCAAGAGACAAAGCCTGCTGAAGAGCAGGGAAGAGCAGCGGGGAGGCCCACTGAGTGCTGGGGATGGGGGGGTGAGGAAGGAGAGATGGGAAGAACTGTCGAACTTCCAAGGGACCTTTGAGTCTTACAAAAATGTGCATAGGGCTCTTCCTGAAATAACGAAAGAGTGCAGTTGCTCAACCAGCATGCCTCCGTTTGGGGCTTGAGAGCCATCTTATAGTAAAGACAAACTAGGTTCACTCCTGTTTTTGATTAAATCTCTTGTTTCTCAAGGATTGGGCTATGCCCCACCTGTAACCTTAACTACAAATGGCTCTGTACTGCCTTTTTCAGATAACGGCAACAATGATTTTGTTTCAAAAGGTTACTGTGACCATCTTGCTATGTCCACCTTGTTGCGATGGCCTTGCAACCATGTCTACGTTTCAGGTGTTGGTTATGATCAACCTGTTAAGCGTATGCTCAGCTTCTGTAGCCCCAGGTATCTATCTGCCAAATCCCCTATTTGGGAACCGCCTACTCTTGAACTATAAAAACCCTTATCTTACCCATGTCCAGTGCTGATCTCTTGAACCCCACTTTTAGGGAGAGACAGCCTGTATACATGAATAAAAAGGTTTGCTTTAATTCATTACTTGCTTTAATTAATTTGGCCAAGATTTGGGTCGGTGGTCTTTGTCCTCACACCTGTGGGATTAACATAATCATACTAGCAAAGGGGACTCCATGAGAACCTCCCAGAAACAGGTTTATTATAAGAAATGACCTCACTGGGATCAGTTCTAGACAGGTGGTCAGCAGACTGGCCATCCACACCATCTTGTCTGTCCTCCCCAAAGCTGCTCCAGATAGCAAATATACAATGGCCAGGAGCTACTCATGTGTATTGTACAGTGTCCATTGCATGTCAGGGTGTGCTGAGATTCTGTAGAGCATACTTGTGTATGTGGCAGGACATAGATGTCCTGTGCATTGCTGGACATCAACAGCTGTATTTATTTCACACATTTCAAGTGTTTTTAGCTCCTTTTTTTTTTTTAAATGACATGCTGTTGATTGCACAATGTGTTTTTCTTTCTGAGTTCATGTTCAAGAAAGCAGTCCTAAAATAGGTGTTTCCATGGAGCTATTGGGATTATTTTTGCCACAATATGCTTTATCTTTCACATTTCTGTAAACCTTTGGAACTGGGAAATCTTGCATCAGTAGCCCTGCCAGCTCTGTTCTCAGGGCTGAGGAAGTCACACTTGGGAGAGCAAGTTTGCGGTCATCTTTCTAGTCACATCACGCTCAAAACCTGGAGTGACTTTTGAGAATTTTGCTTATCACTGTTGGTGTCATAGTTGAGAAGGTGTCTAACCGGAGGTGGACAGCTGGTCTGAGGTTTAGCAGGTCTAATTCTTTACATCATTTCATTTTACTTAAGCTAAATTCCTGAGTAATCCTGTCTTTCTTCCTATAGATAATCCCTGGAGATAAAGGGTCAACAAGTCATGACTCATGCATCTGACATCCCTAAATCTTCCTGGCTGGAGTCTTTGCTTAGCTTGCCTTCCACACTCTCTCACTGCTGTGGCTGAGCTGAAAAGTTGGAATGGAGACCTCTGGCCTAAAACACTTCCAGTCTGTCTCTACAGAAAGGAGTTTCCCCATCAGTGATGTAAAAGACAGCACTCTTAGGTTTCCCAAGAAAGCTGCTCTTGTGGATGTTTTCAAAGAACAGATCCTGGTACCATCTGAGATAGTTCGGTGGGTAAAAAGCACTGGCCACCATGGTGGGGAATCTGAATTCCATCCCTGTGATCCACATTGTAGAAGAAGAGAACCAGTTCCTGTTAGCTGCCCTCTGAGTCCCACATGTGCACATGCATGCACACATAACGCACGTGTGCATGGACACACAATAAGTAAACAAATATATACTAGCTCTAGGTATGCATACATGGAAGGGAATTTCTCCCAGTCCTTTACCCCTTTCTTATTATTTGAGACAAAGAACTGTGGTTATCTGCCAACACAGGAATCCAAGTGGAGACCATTTCCCAGCATCCCTTGCAGTTGTATGTGGTCATGTCCAGGCAAGGGGCTTTCTGCTTTTATCAAGTACTGTTTTAGGTCCCAACTAGTCACCGAATAAACACAACTTCTCTCTGTATCTGTAGACTAATCCATTCCACATCTCTTTATTATTGAGAAACCTAGAGAGTCAACATTGGCAAAAGCTTAAAATCCCTTTGCAGGGGTTCCTTTCTCTGCTTGTTCAAGTCCTTGAAACTGTGACTTCAACATCTCCTGCACTTTGTCTCTAGAGACTGGTGGTTGCCAGGCCTTGTAGATTTACACAGATACACACACACAGCTATACACTCACATATGCACATACAAAAAGACACACACAGAGAAACGTATAGTCACACATATACTATGTCCATACATACATAAACATACACAGATACACAGATACACAGATGCACACACAGACACAAACACAAACACACACACCACACCACACAGCCTCAAGCTGTGTGAGGGTCAGAAACCTGCATCCATTTAAGGCTCCCTAGAGAGGGAGCTGAGTCCTACTGTGTTGGGGACAGTTGGCTCTTCTTTCCCTGAATCTTCCTCTTTAGCAACCCTGTCTCCATCTCTTTGGACTGGAGACCTCCTCCCACTGGGTAGCAGCAGCCAGGGTAGGTCATATCTCTGCCTCTCTGGCTGGTTCTAGCTCTGCCTCATCATCCCATGCAGGGGCAAGCTTAGTCT